CACTGGCGCCAGTGTGGCCCGAGTGGCAGTGCGCAAATACTTCTAACATATCTGACGGCTCGCACGGCCCTGTTAGAAATTAGACTAGGCGGCAAGTCATTTAAAGCGGAGACAAGCGCCAGTTCAAAAAGGTATCTGGCTGTCACCATAGCAGACGGCGCAGCCAGCCCGCTTTAGCGAAGCAGATTCTTCTAGAAGCTCACCCGTATATATCGAGTGCTCCGCCGTCGCTTTCAGCAATTTTCCGGTCTGCCGCCGAGCGCTCCGAACTCAGGAGCGCCGACGGTGGCGGTTGAAGTCTCCAGTGTTGCTTGCACGTTCACTCTCTTCTTGGTAATTAGAAATAGAGAGCAAAACCGTATTGACGCTCCCCCGGGGTGCGCTGGCCAGGCAAAGCGCGCTATGCCCAGTTTAACACGAGTTCAACCAAGTTTTTACACCATTTCTCAAAGTTTATGTAAAAACAGAGGCCATGTTTTCAAAGTTCCCTCTGTGTTTAAAGCATCATGAGTTGCCTACCCGGGGCGCCATGAGAGGCGTCACGTCAGTCACGACGGGCCCCGGCTGCCCGGCGACACCCGGATTGGTGCCATTATCTCGAACCGTGCGAATAGGAGTGCTTTTTTCTCCGGCGAACTTGAGCAATCGCTTCGGAAGCAAAGCAAATTCGCTCGCCCTCCGGTTGCGCGCGCTCATTGCTGCCGTCCACGCGCAGTCAGCGAGGCCGGCGCAATTGCACGCAAGGTTTTTGCCAGTTGCAGCTATCCCGGGTTCTCTTTCTTATTGCCACACCCTGCTACCAGTGATTCCACGAATTGCACTCCCTCGAACCTCTTCTGCCTGCCCAGAGGGGTAAGGCGGAAACTTGAAGCTACGTTTTTCGGATAGAGCTTCTCTGAAATCCGATTCTGTGGCTTCGAAATTTTGGAAAATCAGAGTGCTTCCAGTCGGCCAGGCAATCGTCGACTATGGATACTTGGGGCGCCCTCTCTTGTATAGGATCCCCATAGGATCCGCCCGGCCATCAATGGCTCCAGAAACAGATATTGCAGGAAGAAGAGTCATCTGGTTTCAAAAGTCCCATCATGGGTTCGGGGTTGGTTTCTGTGGTGTTCGTCTTCTTGAAAGGATCAGTTTGGAAGGAAGTTGAATGTTATTATATTTGTAAAAGAAGCATGCAACAGTACGTGGTCTTGACCAGCTGTCTACACTGTTTCTCAGGCGCAGCCGATCTCACTACATATAGCCGCAGGCCCGGCATAGGTTGCCACGTGCATAATTGCCTACCGTCCGACGGTAGGCAGAGTCCGCCTCTGGTTCGCAAGTCCGAGTCGCTATAAGGTTTATGGTATCGCCGTACGATACCAACTATTGGGGACAAAAACGTTTGGGACCGAAACGTTCGACGAATCACCCATGAACGCAGGTATCTAT